ACATTTGCATCTTTTCAGTTTTGTTCATCGTGTGTAGTACAAATGTTCATACTGGTGAAAATGATGCACGAGTCTGGCTCAACATATTACATATTTATTTCTTTAGTTGTTTAATGGATTATTCTTATTTACACATTTAACACATTTTGTTCTTTTTTAAATTGTTAGTTTTATTATCAATTACTTGTTTGACTGCTTTATTTCTGCTGCTATCGAGCTTCCCTGCAAATGTGTTAAACTCCATAATACGTGTAGAACCAGTGTGACTATGATCATAACAGAGAAAGGTCCTGTTCTTAGAGCTCTCATTGTTTCTCATCCGTCTGCAGTTACAAGGAATGGAGGAGGAGCTGCGTGGTGCTCCTTCTTCCTATCGGAATGGAATGACCACGAAGCTGCGCCTGTACCGCCGGGATCTGGGCAAACTGCAGAGAGACATGAAGAACTCTGCTCCCGGCTTTGGCTCCTCGACCCAGCCAGTCGGAGGAAGTCATCACGGCATCTACTCATCAGAAAATCAGCAGAGTGTGAGTCAGAGGCTGTTTGAGCATTTCATCACGAGAGTGACAGACCCAGGACGCTCACATGTCTGTATGATTGTTTGCAATATTGATATTTTAACATCTTGATTATGTCAAAATACTGTTATTGGTTATGTATGTATTTCTGCTTTTGCTTTAAATTATATATTCCTGTGAATACTGGCTTATATAAAATGTATTTACAAAGAGACATTTTCAGTGTATTTGAAAATGACATTTAAAATATTGAGGAAATTAAGAAAATAATAATAAAATGTTTGCAAACAAAGATGAACATTTTACTGAAGAATAATTCACAGTATGTACCAGTTGATATCTAAGCGAGTGAACGTTATTGTTTATTTCCTCCTGTAAAGATTTTGTCTTTTGAATCATTCATCCTGTTTCATTTCTCTCCCCCCTGTATTCAGACTCACCTGCAGTCCCAGAGAACCTTGCTGCTCCAGGGCACAGAGTCTCTGAACAATGCCAGTCAGAGCATTGAACGGAGCCAACGCATCGCTGCAGAGACGGAGCACATCGGTACAGACATCATCGAGGAGCTGGGCGAGCAGCGGGAGCAGCTGGACCGCACCAGAAACAGAGTGAGCTGGGAATCATCGCGCGGTTAATGCTGTGCTCATTTGAATATCTCCATTTAAAATGCTTGACATTTGTTGGTCACTTAATTCGGCTGTTCTTTGTACTTATACCCAATGTTTGGGTTGGTAGAATTTAGACAAGTTGTGTTTTTCATTATGTCTTAAGAGAAGCTGTTAAATATGATGTAAGTTTAAGGTTTTTGAAATCTCTTCTGTCTTTTTGTGTAGTTGATGAACACTGGAGAGAACCTCAGTCGAAGTCGGAAGATCCTTCGTGCCATGTCACGGCGGTGAGTGTTATCCTAGAGGAGGACATCAATCAATCAATCATTTCTATCTATATACATTCAATTTGTCTTATTACATTAAATCAAATAAGTGGATGAATGCTCAATTTGTCGAGTAAATTACAGATTCTTCTCAAATAAAAATAGTTGCTGATACATTTTCAGTCACTACACAAATTGATTAATCAACTAATTGTTGCAGCTCTTTCTGATGACACATTTAAAATATCATCACTCTTAATGTTTCATGGCTAATTTATTGAACTAATCCACAGAGATGATATTAGCTTTCTCTCGACATGTTTTATGTTTGATACATTTTTGTCTCTGTCTTGTAGGCTGATGACAAACAAGTTGCTTTTAGGTGTTATCATTTTAATGGAGTTGGCGATCCTGGGCGCTGTTATCTACCTGAAGTTCTTCCGACGATGAACTTTCCCACCTCAGAAGAGTCTTAAGCTCTTGATCCGAGAGCAAAACCGGATTCTCTGCATCTGTCTCCATCAACTGTCCAGTAGCAATAATGCTGCTCTGCTGTATTCAGCCAACTGTTTTTATATTAGTGCAAAAAAGGACAATAAGAAGATTCAGATTCTAACTGAAGCTTCACTGAGAGAGGACTTTGTCTGTGAGCAGGTGAAGTTCATTCCACAGGAATAACAAATTGTTCAACCTGTGAATGGACTAAACCTACAGGACAAACTGTGAACTGAGATCTGCACTGTTTTATCAGACCATTAATGCCAATGATGTCCTGCGGGAGGATTCTCTGGACTTGTGCTCTGACTGCTGCAGATTCCAGAGGTGATCTGTGATGAGTTTGGTTGCGTTACTGCCACATGTTAGACTCTCTGGTGTGGTTGACAGTTCTCATGAAATGACGTTGGCATATCAGCTCTGTGAGTTTTTAAAAATTCTCAGCATGGGATACTTTTCTGTTCTATTCTACATTATTGTATTGTTTATTATCTTTATGAATCGAACAGTATGTGATGAAATGGCACCAGCTGAGTGTATTTTCCTACAGTCTTCATGCTCCGTATCCAGATGGTTATTTTGAGCTCATTTTTTTATTTCTCTGATGTGAGAAAAAGTCCTTCAGAGGAATGAATGTGGATGAAATGTCAGCAAGACTCTTAATACAATTACAGTGTTCTTAACAGTTAATGATGTTGTCTAATCACTGTATACCACAAATACATCTTAGCAGAAATAAGCGTCTCTATTCTTTATTTGACAGTCTACACATTAAAGCTAATATCTAACCTCATCTTGCATTCTATCTGGTATTTCCAGGGAAGGCAGCCAAGCAGGCCAAAGTTTTGAAAAAACATCCGCTGTGGAACTGACGTCACTGATGAGGATGATTTCCAGGCTAAAGCCCCAGAACAGGCCGGGTTAGTTCTGGGTAAACAGCATCTGTTACTATGGAATAAATTCCCAAATAATAGGTGATAAGGTTATTTTTAGTGATGTGTTCTTGAAGTGGCACATCTGCCGCAGTGTTGTTCTTCTGCGTAGAGATCATGCCTTGCTGGAGTGACCTGGTTGTGTGGATGAGGTGGGGTTGTGGGAAGAAGACATTTTATTATTTATTTATCTTTCCTAATTAAGTTCCATTTTTTGTAAGATGTCATGTCAATTACTTTTCATGCAACTAATAATTATGTAATTACCAAGGCCCCATCCTGCCTCGTTAAAGAGAAAGAAATTCTTGCCGCCTGTTTGTTTGGATTCGCTCCAGTTCATTTGTTTGTCTTTGGGTCATGCCCCGCCCCTCCATAAATTGTCATGAGGGTTGTTGTGAAACTGTTCAGCTGAGAAATCCTACATAACGTTAGCAGAGGTATCAATGTGACCAGTGATACTGATAATACTTCATCTGGCTCAAACATTGGCCTTGTAGTAGTGGCAGTGACGGCAGCGTTGGTCAGTCCAAACTGAAATGTCTCAATATTTACTGTAACAGTTGCCAAGACATCTTTTTTAGTCAGTCGTGGTCATTTGAGGATGAATCCTCATGACTCCAGTGAACTTTCACAGGATGACACAAGAACTGCTGAAGCGATCGCTGTAACAAATGTTCCTTTTATCTTCAGAGATTGGATATTTTGCCTTTGTTTAACGTGGGAGTGGCCACTCCGCCTTGGCGGCGGTATGTGCTCTCAGTGTTCTCTTCTAGTCCTATTGAAGATAACACTTAAATTAAAGTTAATTATCTCACAAAATTCTGTCCTGACAGTCGTTGAGTCCCAGAGGATAGAAAACAAGTTTTGCCTGTGGCGATTTTTCATCAACACTTAAAAATGTCATCTGTCCAACTCTTGTTTATGATCTACATTTGCAGAACAACTTATATTACCATCACATCCCCAGTTTACACTTTATACTTTAATTTTACTGCAAATATTTACATGCTCCAGTGACATAGTCAACGTTGCAGATTCTTGACGCAAACACACGTGTGGTCACAGAGCCTGTAGACTCTGTTCATGTCTTGTTCAAATCCTAATTTTCTTAGGAAGAAGTTAAAACATTTACGTTTTACTGGATTCCTAAATATAATACAAATGAGGGAGTCAATAAAACAACTGTACCCATGAACAAAAAATGTCATTACATTTATGGGAGACCAAAATATAAACTCTGTTACAAGGACAAGTCATTCGGTTTCCTCTTCACGTCAAACATCGAGATATTCACTTCATCTGTGAACAAAAACTGATTAATCATCAGTTGATATTTATACACACAGTAAGTCTAGTACATGTACTGTACTAGTAGGTTCAATGTGTCAATACAAAAACTCTAAAGGAAATACAGTAACCACACCTGGTCCAAAAGTGCAAACACATCATCACTAGTTTTTACTAACTGGCACAGACACAGTTTTTAGAATCCGTGCTGAGGACTTTAAACTATGTTTTGATTCATCATACCTCTGAGGCAGGTTCATTAAACTTGTAAACCAAACACAATAAATATGTTGCAACCTTACCCTCAAATACTTAACTTATTACTGTACAAACAAAATAAGTTAGTATTGCTGTTAAAATGAGAAGTCTTCCCATCAACAAGAGTAGTGGTTTCTAAATTAACTAAGGTAATAATCTATGTAATCGTCTCAGGTTTCACAAATCCAGACGTGATTACTATACTATAAACAGCAAAGAGATGGGAACAAAAACGTTTGAGCTACTGTTAGAATCAGTCTTTTCAGTCCTCAATTAAAAAAAGGTGGAATGCTCAGGGATGACGTTGATACAGTTCATAGCTTCACTTTACGCTCTCAGAGGCAGAGCTGCTCTGTGTCGTCCTTCGCAGATGGAATCTCATCGATGGACACGTGAGGCCCTTCTCTCATCTGTCCAAGAGACGACGCAATGACGTTGACCGCTAAAGAGGCGGTGGCCTCCACGGCTTCCCGGTTGGCCCCCAGCACGGGGTTTACCTCTACCAGGTCCATGGCTGACAGCAGGCCTGCACATCAACACAGTCTGAAGTTACACACTAAAACTAAAACCAGCGGATGTGTTTTATTGACAGAAACATAGTATCTGTAGTATCGACATGGTGTCGGCTCTTTAAGCTGTCGCAGACCTGCGTCAATTAGTATTTTTTTGTACCTGTGTTATGGATTTCCTCTGTGATGTAGATTCCCTCCCTATAGGTCAAACCTCCATTCACTGGCGTTCCTGTGGCGGGGGCGAGAGACGGGTCGAAGGCATCGATGTCAAAGCTCAAGTGGATCGGTCGCTGTTTTCTGTTCAAGAAGGTGAGAAAGATAAAGTTTGAACTTGAGTTCAGACATTTTCAAGCATTTGACTTAATCACATACACAAGCAATTTATTTTTACTAAAAGTTCAGTACATTAAACCTTCAAAAGAATCATATTGAAATGTTTAACATTCAGGGATATTCTCGTCACTTGAACGTACCTTGCCATAAGATGGTCAAGAGTGACCTCCATAACCCTTTGGATGCCCAGTCTGTCAATATCCCTCATGGTGAAGTACTGGATACCCAGGTTCTTCAGGATGTGGCTGCAATAAACACAATTCAATTCAAAAATGTAAGTTAAAACTACTCTCCGAGCGCTAAAGTTGTTAAATCTTTAGTTCAAATCAGCCACATACAGTAAAGTGCTGGTATCTACTTACCGCTCTCCGGGGTCCACGTCCCGCAGACCGATGTACACCAGGTCCCTTGAGGAGAGGAACGGCTTCACCCAAGAGAATCCTGGGATAGCTGGCATCTGTGGTGGACGGTAAAATATATAGTTTAATATGGAATTGATACGATGTATGTGGGGACAGAAATAATCCTCCACCATCAGGTGACATGGAGACAGTTTATGATGTTGTCCCGTTTATTTTTCATAGATCAAAAGTATTTAAAAAGACAACACAAACATTCAAACAGGAGAAAATGTGCTTTTTAAAATGTAAATCAACTGTAAACAACTGCTTCCAGAAAGTTAAATATTTGAACACATGTTCAAATAACTGAAAGAGCCACTTGTTTGAGAAAGGTACACTGCAAACATCTGGAGGGGGTAAATGTATTAGTGGCACCGTGTTATTGAAGAGCATTTACATTTTGCTGAGGGCCTCTCCTCACCTTGTCTTGAAGTTCTTTGAGCATGAATGCCACAGGCTGGCCGTGGAGGTTTCCTGATGGAGAGGTCATGGGCGTATTTATGTCTGCGTGAGCATCGACCCAGATGAGACACAGGTCGGGACACTGCTGGGCATGACCACTCACTGACCCGATAGCAAGGCTGTGGAAAGACAAGGATGGTCTTTTAAATATCTGGTGTTTAATCAGTCGAATCCAGAGACTGTGAGTCTTTGCAGGACGCGTCGTGGTTTTAATTTTATAGCTTTGGTTCGAGACTAGAACGTCTACATGATGTTGGTGGAGGTTTCCACTTCAACTTCTACAGCTTTATTATTATTTATGTGTATGAAATTTGATTATGATTTTGATAACATGAGAAACTTGGGTTTGTCATCAAGTGTTTCTTAGGGGTGGAGGGTTCTTTGTTTTGATGTAGGCCCCCAAGTCCCCTTTTGCCTTGGGCTCCCAAAGTCCCTTGAAACGCTCCTGGCTGTGACAAGTATAAGGTTGAACGGAGGCCTTTGGACACTTAAATACAACAGAAATCATACTACATGACTTCATGCTCTGGAGTTTTTTATGATCCTGAGCTGATCATTTACCTGTGATCACCTCCGAGCATGACGAGGGTGTGCCCCGCACCGATGGCTCTGCTCGCTGCTCCAGACAGCATCTTATTGGCTGCTCCCACAGAGCGAGGGAACTTCACATCCATGTACGGTTCATCCTTCTCCAGGTGGTGGAAGCTGAGGTCTCCAAAGTCGTGGACAGAATAATCTGAGGAGGCGACAACAAGCTGCCGTTAGATGAAGACACTTTGTGCAGAGTCACTCTTTCAACTCAGTTTACAGTGAGTCAGCAGGTATTCAGTGTGTCAGCCTGTGACATGGAAGCAATCTGGCATCTACTCTCTCTTATCACCAGGACACATCCCCCCCCATGCCTGTTTTGATAGAATCATTTGTAATTTGAAGTCTGCAGGTGACGCTTTGAGATGGAACCCACGGCTTAAATCACATAACTCCACATGCAACTGTCTGAACCTGCAGTCTGGTGAGGCTGAGTCATTCTGTGCCATTGGAACTTTAGTGACGGAGCACTTTCCATTTGCCCCGCTTCCCTCTCCAGCTCAGGTTTCAGTCAGTGCAGTTCACGCTTTGCTCGGCTGTTGCAGAATTTAATGACGCCCGCTTTGAAGTAAACAAGTGATGTGATCCACCATATTGGGGGTTCATCTGGCAATGTGAGCTTCGGTGGCAGTGTTGTGTTACTCTGCTGATCTAAGGGGAACCAAAGAGGTGCATTACCATTCGTAGACAGGACAGGAATAGCCCTAGTCTTCTTCTCGCAATCCTGAACGTCTATTGCATGATAATTTAACTTTAGTCTGTTAAAGCAGTGATGAGCTGACAAGTTCTGCTTCTGTTTACTTTCAAATTCCAGTTTATAACTGCTGTGTTTGCTTTGGTTAAATCCCAGTGATTATATGAACCTTTATATTTAAAACTGTTTCCACAAACTGACACCAACCGTGACGCTGTAAAAACGTGAGACTACGTGGTATTTAGTTCACTTAGGGTTTGGTCCAGAAGACTAAGCACATTTCAAAAAACTAAACAAAGGCCACCATCATCCCTATAATAAACTGA